AGATGTGTATAAGAGACCGTATATTCATCAGTAAAAAATTAAAAATGACACAAAGTAATAACCATCGTATCCCCACCCACCGCCTGCACCTCTTCTTCCGACGCCACGACGAGATCTTCCGTAATTTTATACTGTTAAATTGTCACTGCTTTTTATTGCCTATCAGCAAACTGTGTATCAGCAAAATGGGCTCCATAGTTTTTCTGAGACGGCAAATTGGGTTTCAGTAAAGTGGACTAGGCAATCTGGCATTCGGCAAACCGTGTCGTGGTAATCTGCTCTAGATCCGCGTGATTACGTTTGTGGTGTGGGCATTTTGTTAGCATAATCTCTACCCTGGCATTACCTTCTGCATCCAACAGGTAGTCCATCCAGAAACCTGCAGTTTTTTCTTCTCTTCTTCTCGAGTTACTGCCTACTTCGCTATAAACCTGTCTCTTATACACATCTAGATGTGTATAAGAGACAGGTCCAGTACTGTAGTTGCCCTTTAAATGGCATTAGTGTGATGTATTCAGTCTACAGTATCCAAATTAACCATTACCTCATTCACATAGAAAATGTGAACATTAATGTATATGTTCATCTTGTTTCAAAATGTTCATCTTTATTTATTAAAAGGGCTAGATACTAATTAGCAACAAATACATTCAAAATTAATCTTTCTCGGAATGATTCTATTAATAATTGTGGAAAAGTCTCATTATGTTATTGATCGATTGATTGATTGATTGACAATATTTCAGAATCAAACCAATAATAGGCCTATTATTAACAAATTCGAAGTGGTGAAAACAAAAATATAAAAAAGTCATCAAAAATATATCATACGTAACAATATTTTTTTATTTTAATAAAAAGGACGCATATTGGCACGTCTTGTGCGCACAAACAAAAACAGTCCAATCCTGTATACAATAGGGCAAACACCTACACTTAACTGATATTTGTTAGATATCTTTATAATAAAACTGGCTACAAACCAATCAGAAACTAATAAACTGCAAAATTTCAAGTTCTCGGGATGATTCTATAAAAAATTCTAGAAAAAGAGTCCTTATGTTATTGATTGATTAACTTTATTTCAGAATCAAATCCATAATTGGCCTATTATTAACAAATTTGAAGTGGTGAAAAAGAAATATAAAACAGGTATAAAAAATGTCACACGTCACAATATCTATTTATTTTAATAATGCAATCCTGTATAGAGCAAACATCTGAATTACACTTAACTGATATTGGTTAGACTTTCTGTATGTTTAAGTGCTGGATAATAACTTTGTATATCTGGTCACCTTATAGTGCATACATACACATAGAGGTCTACACTGCATTACAGGAAAGATTACTTACATCTGCTTACGTTAACAAAATAGGTTTGAAATATCTTACAAACTGAAACCGTGAAACTTTTAAAGAATAAAAAAAACGGTCTTGGGGAAAACCAACAGTAAAATGACAGTCACTATACTTACTATACTAGTACAGTTGTTTCTACAGTAAAATAATCAGACTCTCGAATTAGGCAATTGCCCCGTTAAATTTCTTTAAGAACTAGATCTACAGTGGACTTACATGTATATATTAAGCAAGATGTGGTATTTACGCCAGTCCAAACGACTGGGCGTTTAAGATACCGAAATCCATCGCATCTCTAAATTCGTTGTATTCCTCGAATTTTGTTGGCAGACGCAATATAATACTACAAGTATTAGCAGTTGGGAAGCGAGCGTCATCATTCAGGAATTCTATCTTGGGTTGGTCGCTGAATCCTATTATCGGTATGCTGGATGCACCACTCGCAAAAACTAGTATGTCCTTGCAAGTGCACTGTGCTTCCTCCTCTACAATTAAAACAAAAATGATAAAACAGTTAGGCCACCATATATCCTCCCCTGTATCATCCTGTGCAAATCCGCTCCCTTCCCCCCGAAAAAAAGACTACCAACGATACATAAGACTAGACTTACTATGTCTGTTTGTAAAACAGAACAAAGGGGCTTTTCCTCATTGCTATAATGAGCAATGAAGTTGAAATTGCAACAAAAAGTCGTTAAAAAGTATAAAGTAAAAAAAAACCCACGGAAACCCAAAAAAATAATAATACAAAACAAATTATGAATTTAAAAAAAACAGTGAAAACAAAGTTCAATGGTATCAGCGAGGTACAACGAGATTCATAACAATAACCATTGCTCGCTATGAGCCAACCATGTATTTTCCGTTCATACTGATTCAGATTGTTCATGCATATTACGGTAGTTTTGAGTGTAACCTAGCTGCAGCTGGTTTCAACGCAAACTCAAATCTAAAGGGAAGAATAGGCATCGTATCCCCGTATCTCCTGAAGGTATATTCATCAGTTAAAATTAAAAATGACACAAAGTAATAACCATCGTATCCCCACCCACCGCCTGCACCTCTTCTTCCGACGCCACGACGAGATCTTCCGTAATTTTATACTGTTAAATTGTCACTGCTTTTGATTGCCTATCAGCAAACTGTGTATCAGCAAAATGGGATCCATAGTTTTTCTGAGACGGCAAATTGGGTTTCAGTAAAGTGGACTAGGCAATCTGGCATTCGGCAAACCGTGTCGTGGTAATCTGCTCTAGATCCGCGTGATTACGTTTGTGGTGTGGGCATTTTGTTAGCATAATCTCTACCCTGACATTACCTTCTGCATCCAACAGGTAGTCCATCCAGAAACCTGCAGTTTTTTCTTCTCTTCTTCTCGAGTTACTGCCTTCTTCGCTATAAACAGCCCTGAATAGGTGTCTAAGTTTAGCAGCTGTCAACACTGAAGAATCAGCGGCAATGAATGCTTCACGGCAACAGACAGGGTGCCCTTGAATGGTCGTCAGAACATCAAGTGTTTGCAATCCCTCACAAAATCTGCGGAGTACATTTCATTTCACTTATTTGTTTCTATCGACCTTGTCGAGATATGAGATCAACTTACAAACCAATTTAATTAGACAAAAATGACATGAAGCAAGATGCTTTTAAATTAAAAAAAATAACAACGCTTTTATTAAATAAAGTCACAATGAATGTTATTCTGGTATATAGCACATTTAATCCCACTTGGATTAATTTAATTTGTGTATGGATCTAAACGTTGTAATGCGAAATTGTCACAGAGGTGATCAAATAGTTTGTTGATTAAGAAAATTTGAAAAGTGTATTGTAGACTTATAAGTACACCTAATCTATAGCATGAAATAGTCATTTATGTTAAAACAATTTCAATTCTGTACCTTTCATAAGCAGACATAGTGCGATCTAGAACGAAGAATCTGCCTGCTCTTAACACCACATGATTTTTATCCATCACCGAGCGAACATGGGTTAAACCTCCAGATAGATTCAAAAAGTCCATTGCCCCGTCTATGGCTGTTTCTAACTCTGGTAACGTGCTCGCAGCTTGAATCTGTTGCAGTATAATAGATAAATTGTGGGTGGGTCGATATTTTGTACAAATAAATATAAAATCATTAAGATAGTATGCCTTTACGCTAGGCCTATGTTATGATTCTCACCTTTTGCAACATTGTCCGTATGTCGGAATCTGCCACATCTACGATTCCAGGTGTGGTTTTAGAAATTCCATAAGCTATCGACTCATACAGGACATTAGAAAAAAAAGTCGGCGATGGTCCCCCATGCACAAGACTCATTGCTATAAGCTGACCAGCATGAAAATACCTGTCCTCTGCCATTGCTGTCGAAAGTACATTATGCATTTTAAACAGAAATAATTTGAATGAATAAATTAATGCCTATTAGGAACTCTAATGTGCATGTTATATAATGCTTTAGTAGCGTGGGGATATGCATGTACGAGATGTAAGGTGTGTTTTTAATGTTAAAATTTAATGGACAAAACATGTCACTTTTTACCTGCACCGTTGAATGACAGAACCCTCTTGTCCATAGGGCCGTCGAACAATGAGCTTTGCTTAATTTCTTCCATAATCAAAGTGAAAAATTCTCTCCGGGGGCCACCTTGGTCAATCGCCCCTTCCGCTTGTCCTATCGAGTCTGTGAATAGCAAAGAGAGCCTCTTGGATGGAGCGAATGATTTTCTCTTTAGTCCTCGGACAGCGCCACTCCATACGTTAGATCGACATATGTTAAATAATGAGCTTGTGTCATCATCATCATCAACTTTATTAAGTCTTTGGAAAAGTTGGAAAGCTGTTAAGTTTTGTCTGTTGATAAAGATATATTAAACGTACACACTCAGTATTGACATTTATTTATTTATTTCGACAATATTTAAATAAAAATTTAACATTCCATGAGAGGTATGGGAGAAATGCTACTCAAAAATGTTTGGCCTACTGATCCAGAAACCGAAAGTTTATTGTGGAAGGTGGGTATCGCCGTGGCCCCTCAACTTTTGCCAAT